TGCTCCCATGGAAGTCAGATTAAAGAATGGGCTGGGGAAAGACTCATGAAGTAAACCCACCTCGCTACTGTTCACATAAAAACGATGAGGAGGTGGCTGGTTTTGTCATCTGGCATGGCATGAGTTTGGTTTGTGTATACAGAAAACAAGTCTGTATGATTTTTCAAATACATTCCTAAATGCAGTGTTTAAAACATGTTACCCAATGCAGAGGGAAAATGTAGGAAACCGTAAGAAACCGAGAGGCTAGGGAGGACTCGTGTTATTCTCAGGGTGAAAGCAGAATGTGCATCAGAATACATCAGAAGGAAAACTGATCACTTTCTATTTTCACAAGGCATTAATATTTTACAGCTGCCATTACATTTTGAAGAGTGTGCAGGTATTTATTGGTAGTGCTATAGCTACCCAGTCCCAAGTCCTGAAGGAGGAGATACCTGTTTTTCAAGTTGTTCTGTTCACTCAACCCTTGTCTCCTAGTTCACACCCCATCTGCACCGGCACTGCAGTAACTCCGGGAATACCTGGAGTCACAGATGTGTGTTCCCACACCGGCTGCCCTTCCTGTGAGGCTCCGAGTGGTTTTTGCCCCTAAGAGCCAGTGGGTCAGAACTACTGAGAGTCACGCTTCCCCCGGTGCTCGGATCTGTGGAGCAGCAGCAGGACCATTCCCTTTGCCATGTCAGCTGCTGACTAAAGTGCATCATATTTTAAAATGCACTTTTTTCTTTAGTTAGATCATATCTTCTGGTTCAATAATAAACTAATCATGTGCTTAAAATAGCACAGGAGAGGGGTCCTGTTTCAGATTAGTCTACTTAGCAGAAACACCGGGGGCTGTTTTGGAGGTTGCTTAAAGGCTTTCTCACAAGAAGGTCTCGAGTGCCTGTGCTGGCTTCTGAAGGGCTTGCTCAGGCCTGATCAAACTCGGTCAGGTGACAGCATATCAGATCTGTTCCTCTCATCAGTCACATGGCAGCCGTAACTGTCACCAGATTTGCAATTTAATGTGTGCGGCTCAACACTTCCAATTAATCCAGCCCGGGTCTTTAACAATCCATCATTTCAGAGCTAGCACTTTACAGAGCCGCGTGCAAGGCAGCCTTGCACTTTGGTAAGGCAGGAGCCCTAGAAGGCTTTCTTCATGCACGTGGATTTTACTCTTTCTCTGCCACTGTGCAGTGGAAGTTATGGCTGGTTTAGTTGCATTTCACAGGCTTAGGAAGTGTCAAAAAAATCAACATATGACCACAGCAATTCTTCAAAAATAAAGATTTATAAAAGGTGATTCAGCAATGAGAGACTTTTGTGATCTTCCATGGGAAGCTGCTATTTTTGGTGAATTATTATAAGCAGAAGCAGTAGCATCACTCACGTTTATTTATAAAGGCATGAAAGAACGCCCATACGTGTTTCTAAATAGTTGATATATAGTAATGGCCATATGCTGAGAATGAGCGAAAATAGAATTGAGCACTCTGGTTTCCACAATGCTGCATGAGGTTGTGTCGGAATCTTTATATCTAAGAAATGAAAAGCGGAGGGATATATATATATACACACACACACATATATATATATTTGGGGTTTTTTTCCTTCTAGTTCTTCTTTCTAGCAAAACAAACCCAGAGCCTTCAGGGTGAAAGTCAGCCTCGCAGTAAAATTGCATTGTTTTCATTGAGGTCTGACTGGGTTACCACTGAGGTTTGTGAGGACTCTTCCAGTAGCATCAGTGGCTGGTGGATTTGGGCTGTGCTGACAGTGGTAGCTATTTTTATGAGCGTTACTGTACATATAATATTTAGGTTGATTAGTTGTGTGTGCTTGCATTTCTCTTGGGCCTCCGTGGTGCGGAGGAGGAGAAATGCAGCCGTACCCTGCTGAAGGGGCTGCACAAATCCAGGGTGGTCTCATTTCCAGAGTTCACACATTGGAAATTATTTGAATGCTGGGGTTTGGCATTAAGAAAAAATAGAAGAAGAAAGGTGTACCTTCTGGTGACACTACTCCTGAACAGAAATTACAGCTGTTTTGATCCGGCTCTGCAAAGATCCAGCCATGTGTGTGCATTGCAGCTTTTTTGTATACAACTACTTGGGGATAAGTTCAGTAAGGGGCAACATCTTCCCTTCTCTCACTGACCGTGTTCATGTCCTAGTCACACCTGTGCTGAGGTGCCTTGGGATTCTCACAAATTCAGCACCTTGCAAGAGCAATGCCTTAAAGTAAATTCCTACTCTTAATTAAGTTAAATCCTTTGATTGAAATTAATTGTGTTCTTGAATGTTGGGCAGCTGTGATACGAAGCTCATGGAAGGGAGTGAAAAGGGCAGCATCTGACAAGTTGCCTTTAGCAACCTCCCAGTGACAGTGCCTGTCTCCTGATTCCCAAGTACTGTTTTCACATGGAAAAGCATCAGCATAGCAGAGGCAAGCACTTTACTTTTCAGAGGGCTTCCTATAGTAAAGGGCACTGAGGCACATGGCTCCTGATGCTGGAAGGAGTTGCTGGAGAGCCCAACCTTGTTCTTGCTCTGCAGCTGCATTAGTTAAAATACCAGCATTTTGCTAGCTCTCTGCTTCCCATTTCCCAGTACACAGTGGAAAAAAATAAACGGCAACCAGCATGCTCTACTCACAGCAAAACAAATGTTATTTATTAGAGTCCTCCTGTGGTCAGAGGACATCTGACTGTAAAATAACTGGAGATTTTTCTGCTAACTGGAAGCACGATGCTCTGAGACAATTTCCAGGCAGTGTATATTTTCAGCTAAGTTTTATTTACGTCAGCGTAGCAATTTGCAAGATCACTGTTTGCAAAGAGTGAAGCAGCAGTTGTTTTAGCTAGAATTAATTTTTTTTTTTTAGGAAAAAACTTTTGATTAAGCTATGACTCTATGACTCGGTTCCCTTCGCTCCATGCATGGAGATGCTTTTCTTTGCAAAGGGGAGGGCATAAACCTCCTTGGCCGGCACGTTGCTTGCTGCCTGCCCTTGTGGCAAGGAGCAGCTGGGGTGGGGGGAGTGAGGCGTGCGTAGTTAGGGAGGGTTTGTTTTCCCTGCACTAATCACCTTCCTGTCATAATTTGGCACGGCGCAGTGCCCTGTGCGCAGGACAGAGGCAGGTCTGCGTACACTCTCCTATCTGAGCCAGCACATTTTGGAGGATACATCTTCGCTAGACTTAATGTTCTCCTGAGGAGCTTTAATATCCCTGGAGGCTTTCTGCACTTCCTAGGGGTGGGGGATGATGAGTGGAGGTGCAGGCAGAGAGCTAATTAGAGAAGGGGCCTCTTCTAGCCCTTCCCCTACCACCAAGGTCAGAAATACTCCTTTGGAGAGTGGATGAGGAGAGGTATCCACAGAGCCACTCTTCAGATGCTGAGCAGACTTCTTCCCCCTAAACCTCCCTGTTTTCCTTCAGGGGGGCATGTTTGGGTGGTAGAGCTGAGCCCGTGTCATCCCACTTATCCTTTCCAGGGCTGTGAGGGTGGTGGCCTTTGCCAGCTGGGTGCAGAGGGCTGGGGGATGTCCCCTGCGGGACCCCGGTGCCGCCTACTTCTGCTGAGCAGCTGGTGGGATTTGCAGGAGCTGCCTCAGAAACTTGCGGATGATACCAAACATCGAGCATTGAAAACGTTTGGGTGTCAGGAAAGATTTCTCTTCCTGTGGGTAGTTTGCTTGATGAATTTATTTTTTTTCCCCCAGCAACTTTCATAATGTAGGGAGAATATAACAATCCGGAATACATAATATTTGGTTTTATATGAAAAAAGATGTATATAGGTCCAACATGGCTGGATAGATATTGTGGGAGGACTTTTCCTGTGTTCTTGCTTTTTCTTCATCTCCAGAGCACCCTCATTATTAAATTAGATTTCTGGTTAGCAAAAACTCATGGGAAAGAGGAAGAAATTTTGAGACCCCTTTGGGTTAGGGATTTTTAAGTTCCTAGGGAAGAACAGCACTGCAGCCTTACAGAGCTAGGCAGAAAATGACCATATGGAACCAACAGATCGGTACATTAAAGATCTCCTTGCCTAGACTCGCAAATCCCTTTCAACAGAAATTCCTACATACATGCACACGATTGGCAGCTTTAATTATTTGTAATTTTGGAGTCACTATCTGTTTTCTTGTTTAGTTGCACATGAATCTCATGGGGACTTTAAAGCAAACAAAATGTAAAACTGTCAGTCAAAGCAAATTGTGAGTTACTTCATGAGAAGGCACAGACACTGGTCTGGATCTGTGGGCAAAATGTGTTGGATTATTCACAACCTTCTCTGTTTCATTGACAACTGAATGCAAATAAAGTAGTTAATTTCATTTTTTGTTTAATTTTTTGGTGGAGGCCCTCTGTAGGGGTGTTCATCCCAAAGGAGGTTTGTGCTATAACATTTTGAGCAAGGTGACATAGGCTGGAAACTGAAATTCAAGTGAGCAAGCAGAGCTGTGGAGAAATGGGGTTCCCTCCGGTCAGCTGGAGGCTGACAAGCTGGAGTTATTTTCATGGCTTGTTTTCAGTGATTTTTCCCTACTGTGTGGCTACCAGACAACTTCATATGGTGAAGTTAGAACATTAAATATGTTAATACAGTGTAAAATAAAGTATAATTCTCCCAAGTGACCATTAGTAGCATTTATGGGTCTACAGATAGAGTTTGTTTTTCTCCTATCATGTCCTAGTATCCCAGTTGTTAAAATAAACAACTGCTTTTGATTTGTAGCTATAACTTTACAGTTAGGAGCCCGTATCTGAAATAACAAATTAGCCACTCACTACAAAACACTGAAATAAAAACAGACCGGTGTGTAACCTGGACTCGGCAGCCACCAGCTGCACCTCATCTTGCTAATCTTTAGGCTTGCTTTCTTTTTCTTATTTTTTTTTTTTTTTTAAACAGGGACTTTTAAGAGTTAAGTTACACAACTCTCTTTCTATTTTTAAAGTGAGTGGATTCCTTGTTGCGTTGTTGAGGATGATAAATTGATACCACATGTTGCTTCCAGACAAAAAAGACTCTGTACTGCAGTGGAAGCACTTGCAGCTGGTGTCTGAGTTCATGGACGGGCTCCACAAGGTAAACATGGCTTGGAAGAGGCCGAAACAGGCACAGGGAGGGGGAATTTTCTCTGTTTAAAGGCTCAAGCATTTGCTGATGTTGTCTGACCAGGACAGAGTGTTGAAATCACACGCAGTCCAGTGTTTCTGGAAGACTTATTCAGTTGCTTGTATCAAATCAGGTATACAGCACTTTGGAAATGTTTGCGTGTCCTTTCTGGGAGCTTGCACATTTCAGTCCTATAAAAATATCAAGAGACACATGTGTAGTTAGGACATGGTAGCCAATTTTTTTTTTTTTTTTTTTTGCAAGCAGGCGAAATATGTCTGGTTCCCATGAGGAGTATTAACTGAACAAAATGTGGTGCAGTGGATCAACATTTATACAAGCTGAGTGTGTGGCCCCATGTTTGGGGCAAGTGCTGTCACCCCATATGTTGCTGCCCTGGCTACTCGTGGGCACTCCTTTGCACCCCTTCTCCTGGTGCTGTCAGCCTGAGACAAGGTAGGGTAGCAGCACAGTTTACCTATGGCACTGTAACACCCTCTGCCCACACCAAATCTGACCTGCCTCATTTGCTCCTCTGCCCTGCGTCTTCCTTGTTTTCCGGGGTGGTCATTCTTCCCTGCAGGACCACTTCCCCGTGGGGCTGGGACCCAGCGGGGCTGGGCTCAGTGCCATATGGGATACTCTTGATCTTATCTGCAGGAACCTCAGTGTTCTGGCTCTCAGCAAAGTGCACAGCATTCTTCAAGTCCAGTATAAATAGTAACTCTAATAAAGGGAGGAGCTCATCGTATTTCTCTGCTACTCTGCTCTTGCACAGTCCGTGTATTGTCCCCGTTGATGGTATCTGAGCTCTTTCCGAGATGTCTGCAGTCTGGCTAGCAGCTGTCCCTTCTACATATGGTCTCCAGGACAGATTGATGGAAGTTTCTTTATAGATCTTTTAAAGTTTCTCATTGCATTTTGTCATGGAAAAATACGTTATATTTCCATCATCATGGCCTGATCTGTTTCCCACGTAAGTCAAAGGCAAATCCCCATTAATTTGGTCAGCCGTGGGTTCAAATAGTAACTGTATTCTCTTTGCTTCTCCACCTCCTTTGCGGTTCGTCGCATGGTCGTATATTACTAATGCACATGGTTGCAAGCAAACATTGTCTCATGATGCTTTCCTGTACTTTGATGGGAACATTCTTTGACAGCTCAGAAACCAGGTAGAAAATAGTTATTTCCATCCAGATTGCAGCCTGATAGCGCAGCGCAACAGCCTTTACTGATGAGAGTTGTCAATCCCAGTGACTTCCGTAGCAAAACTTGCATGTGAAGGGATAATGGGATCCAACCCTAATTTGATTTGGCAAAGCATCCAACACAAGGAGAAACCAAGAAACTTAGAAACTGTTGCTGAAGAGGTTAGCGGGGGAGGTTATGTGAAAGAAGTGGGTTTTAAGGCGATGTTTGAACAGAGGGTGGAGATGGGGTACACAAAAATAAATTTGGTCCTTAATTATGCTTAAGAAAACAATCTTCCTACAGAAGAAAAGTAAAGAGGAACAGAAGCCAGAGCGTAAGTGGCATATTGCATAATATAAAGGAAAACAAACTGCTTGGATTTTTTATAACCATCAATTTTCAATGCAAAAGTATTATTATGTTATTTTATTATTTGTGTAATACCAACACTGAGCAAAAAGATATAATAAGAAGAAAATTATACATGTGCACACACATATCCACACATGCAGGAGCCCTCATCCTGAAAGGTGCCTCAGTCTCACAGTTTTACTATTTAGTATTTTTTGTGGTTTTAGGCCAGGTAGTTTCATTCTACGGCCACCTCCAGCAGAAGTAAGCCATTTTGTGAGAATACCATAGGTTGAAAGCTGTCAGGTGCTGGCACTTTGGCTGAGTGGTTTTATATCTGAAGCTATGTGGCATGCTGCATATGCTACCTCAGGTGTTTCTTTGCTATGTTTTCTAAGATTTTTTTCATTAGCAAGAGTCATGGTGCTGTGTATTCCTATATCTAGCATTTTAAAGTGCGGAACAGCGTGGTTTGTGTGGCTCTTGTAGCCTGGCTTGGTGTGGTGGTCTTGCTTCTGGTCGTCCTCGTCCCGCCGCTGGCTCTTTGAGAGGAGAAATCCCTGTGCACAAGTGGTTGTCCATGGAAGTCACAGGAGGTGAATGTGAGAGCTACCTGCATTGATGCAGTACAAGCTGGAATATCGACAAAAGTTATTTTTCAAAAAAACCAGCAATTTTCCAGCCTGTTGGGAGAAACCGGAGGAAGTAAGCAGTGGCGCCTAGTTATTAGAAGTTAGAAACAGACTGTTGCCAGATTCAAAATACAGTTAAAATGTCATCAGTTAAATAATAAAAAGCTCTTTCCTTCCTTAGACTGAAGAACTATTATACTGCAACTCAATCCACCATATTTTGATGGCACGATAGTCCCTTAGAAATGGACAAGTCTGTAGCTGAGGCACTGACCCAAACTTCTCCCGAGTGTGTCTGCAAAGTCTGGTCTGCTGTTTTGTGCAAATTGTTTAAAACATAACAGTTGCTATTTTGAACCGTAGTCCATATGATTCCTCTTTTCATTAAGTGATAATCACAACCGCGTCTGCTGTCTGCGTGCGAGAAGAACTTCAGGCGTGTTTTTTCCATTTCACAATCTGACAAAAACCACAACACTTAACAGGGGAAAAAAAGGCATTTTGTACTGAATTGTTTAAAAAAAGATGGTCTGTATTTCTTTACACGTCAAATGTGTCTCCAGTTCACTTATGTCAAACATCCATTTATCCTAAGAATGCAAACGTCAAGATGCTTGTGAATGATTTGTTGATTGATTTATTCTTTGCCTATTTAAATCTGGAATTTCTTCAGTGCTTTGTAGATGAAGGACATTTATCCTGGATGGTTTGATTATGCTGTGATCCTGTTGACTTTGTGTTTTTAAAGCATGCTGGTAGAACAAATGTGATTGTATCCTCTTTATAGATATACCTGGTAATAGCCAAAATGTAAGAAAAAAGAACTTGCGCAGCTTTTAAAACTTGGTCATCTTTAACCTGGAGGAATAGCACAACTGTTTTGTCAAAGGAATATGGGATAGCTCCAAAAATCTTTTGACTCGCACATGCTAAAAAAAACCCAAACAAACTTGGAAGCATTCTCACTAACAAACACTACTTGCTTGACCTTTCTTTGAGCCATATTTTAAGCCCAAGATCAGCAGGATGAGTGGAGTGGATTTTCATCTCAGTTATTTTGGTATAACTCTGGAGTCATTTCACCAGGGGTACCGTGGGCTGGTTTTCTTGACCTCTTTCTCATTCTGAGGTGATTACCATCAGTTTGAGCCAATGAGTGGTTTTTGGATGGTACATGTTGCTGATTAGTGCAAGTGGGTAATACGCAAGAGCAGACTGTGCACGGGCTCCCCTGAAGTACTGTGTTTCATAGCATCCTGTACTGCACGGGGTATCCGACTGTGTACAGCAGCCTTATACAGCTCTGTATCTAGCAGCTTACAGGGACAGGGATATCGTTGTGTGTTGTGTCACATCATGTTTTGAAGACTGTGAGGATCCTATAGCGAGGGGGACGGCTGGCCAGCTAGTGCAGTATGGGCGTAATTCTGGTGCCTCTAATCAAGAGAGAAGGTACAGCTTAGTCATGCACAGAGTGCCTGTGGGAGAGGAGCAACAGCACTTGCAGCTTTTTCAAGAATTATTGTAACAAATACACAAGACACATGCCCATGAAGAATTAAAAAGACATTTGCAGAGGCTGTGATGAGTGTGATCAGTCAGATTTTTGCAGTGCCTTTGCAGTTTTTAATTCAAGGAACTGATGGCAAGATTGCTGATAACATAGAGGTTTGTCCTGAGTCAAAAGTAAGGGAGAAACACCTAGCTCCTTGCTGTCAGGAATGGGGCTGTGTCATACTCCTTTCCTTAGGGGGCAGCTTTTGGGGGTGTAGAGATGGGCACCAGGAATGCACAGCTAGTGCAAACACGGAGCTTACTTTGCAGCAGCATGCTGGCATGCTGCAGTCATGCCCCAGCCTTCCATATCCACCACCCAAGAAAGCCATGGTGATGTCCAGGAGCTGCCAATGCTTTAATTCATGTTGCTGTTTTCATGCGGTATTGGTTTAATGATTGAGATTTGGGTAGCGAAAGAAGTGGGGCACTGGTCGTGACTTTTTGTTTTGTTCCTTTCCTGCAGAATTCGATCCGGCACAACTTGTCTCTCCACAGCCGATTCGTCAGGGTGCAGAATGAAGGCACTGGGAAAAGCTCTTGGTGGATGATCAATCCAGATGGTGGAAAAGGTGGCAAGGCGCCCCGGAGACGCGCTGTGTCGATGGACAACAGCAACAAGTACACGAAGAGCAGGGGGCGGGCGGCTAAGAAAAAGGCAGCACTGCAGACCGCCCAGGAGACAAGCGAGGACAGCCCTTCTCAGCTCTCCAAGTGGCCGGGGAGTCCTACCTCCCGCAGCAGCGACGAGCTGGATGCATGGACAGATTTTCGCTCCCGTACAAATTCAAATGCCAGTACGATCAGTGGCCGCTTGTCACCGATTTTGGCAAGCACTGAACTAGATGATGTTCAAGATGACGATGCTCCGCTTTCTCCCATGCTGTACAGTAGTCCATCGAGCTTGTCCCCATCAGTAAACAAACCGTGTACTGTGGAGTTGCCTAGATTGACTGATATGGCTGGGACAATGAATTTGAACGATGGACTGACAGATAACCTCATGGATGATCTCCTGGACAATATAACACTCCCTCCCTCCCAGCAGTCACCCACAGGAGGGATAATGCAGAGAAGCTCCAGTTTTCCGTATGGTTCCAAAGGTTCAGGACTGGGTTCCCCGTCAAGTAGTTTCAACAACGCGGTGTTCGGGCCATCGTCCCTGAATTCCCTCCGCCAGTCGCCCATGCAGACCATTCAGGAGAACAAGCAGGCCACCTTCTCTTCCATTTCTCATTACAACAACCAGACGCTGCAGGATCTCCTTGCCTCTGATGCACTTAGTCATAGCGATGTCATGATGACACAGTCTGACCCACTCATGTCACAAGCCAGCACAGCTGTGTCCGCCCAGAATTCCCGCAGGAATATAATGCTCCGCAACGACCCCATGATGTCGTTTGCTGCACAGTCCAGCCAGGGCGGTCTGGTCAATCAGAGCCTGCCTCATCACCAGCACCAGTCCCACAACTCCTCTCTTAGTGGCAGCCGTGCCTTGTCCAGTTCCATCAGTAACATAGGCTTGAGTGACTCGAACAGCTTGGGATCTACCAAACATCAGTCACCTGTCAATCAGTCTATGCAAACACTTTCTGACCCGCTCTCAGGCTCCTCTTTGTACTCCTCCAGTGTGAACCTCCCGGTCATGGGACACGAGAAATTCCCAAGTGACTTGGACCTGGATATTTTCAATGGGAGCTTGGAGTGTGACATGGAGTCCATTATCCGCAGTGAACTCATGGATGCAGATGGACTGGATTTTAACTTTGATTCCCTCATCTCAGCTCAGAATGTTGTCAGTCTGAATGTGGGGAACTTCACTGGTGCTAAACAGGCTTCATCACAGAGTTGGGTACCAGGCTGAAGGATCTTTGAGAACAGGGAAAATGGGCAAACAGGTCAGTGCCCCATAGATGTGGTAAAATACTCGGTTCTTTAGTTTTATTGGAGTTTGCACAAAACACTTGGTAGTTAGTGCACACTAATAATATTAATTTGGCTTGTGATGGCTTGCTATGTGTTGGTGTGCAACAGGCGCAACCAAGAGACATTTGGAGGTGTGGAGGGAAACGAGGCTGAGCTGTAAAAGCTGCTCGGCTGCAACACTGTCAGCACGCATCTGATGCTATGCGTCCTTCTTAATTTAGGCCTGAGAAATGTTAATGACAAATCAGGCAAACCAAGGTGTAATATTTGTGGGTTTTAGGAATCACAGAGCTCCAACTTGTCTTCTTTGAAGTCACAACATATGGATTGTTCTCTGCAGCCGATGCCACACGTAGCCAAGCCGTGTTACACAGGGATGGGGCAAGGGGCTTTGCAGTCACTGGAGCAATAGGGGAGGAGGAAGAGCATCTTTGCAAGATCGATGCGTGCACTGAGGATCAGGTGTGTGGCACGGATCTGGACTGAATTAGAGTTGTACTGCTGCTGTGGTACAGCAACACTAGTGAAGTTGTTTGGGGTTTTTAAAAATTGTATTTCTTGTGAAAAAAAAAAGGCAAATGAAGGAATTATGTATTGAAATAGCAAAGGTGGGATCCTGGTCTCAGGAATGTCCTGGGTTTAATGTTTTAAATATGCAAAGCTTGTTGTTCCCCCCCAGGACTGAGGGTGGGTATAATTTTCTTTTGGACTCCACCAATAGAATATCTGTAGGTTTGAGTTCTGACATAGGTGCTTTTCAAATGTTAGCCTCTTCGGATTAATTTTTTCCAGATGGATGTGTTTTTTTCCATTGCTTCTTTTCCACAGCTTGGGGCATTTGAACTTGTAAACATTGTTTCTGTCATCCTTTTGTGATTCTGCAGGCTCCTGACCATACCTCTGCCTGCTCACACGTACATGCTCACTGAGTCATAGGGTAGGTGCCACACAAAGTGCCCTTTCTCCTTTGTTTGTTTATTAGTATAAGGGAGTAGATTTCCAAATGTAGTAGGATAAAAGGTTAGCTGTAAATTATTGAAAGTGTTCTATTAACTTCAGAGTACTATGTAGAGTATCCTAGTGGTGAGGTTAAACGAGGCATTCATTCAGTTTGCAGCTTACTTCCAACTTTCTTATTTTCTGGAGGAAGGATGGAAAGGAGTAGGAGTCGTTTGACTTTACAGTGCATAATTTGCCCGTTTCATCTTTGAGTTTTCATTCTCTGTTTCACAGTTAGATGTTCAAGGTGAAGCTTTGCAGTAGGTGAACAGCAGTGGTGAACCTCCCGAATGTCTCCCTGTGTGTATGGAGTACCTTACCTACCACAGGAGATGTGTGCCGTGATCTCATGTCTGTGAGGGAGAACACGACAGCACAGGAGTCCTCCCTTCAATCGTTCTGCAAAGGTGCCGAGCTCTGGTGGAGTGGCTGGTTTGCACAGTCGTTTCTGTGTCGGTGGGAGGTTTTCCTCTCGTTCTTTCACATCTTCTCGCTCAAAGTGAGAGCATTGCAGTGCGCAGCCAGGAGACAGGCTGTGGAGGTGGCCTGTAGAGGACACCATGTCCCACTGACCCTGCATGGGACAGCAGCTTGGCAGGGCCAGGGATGCAGCTCACTTCTGGTTTTCCTTCAGTTCCAGTGATGGAGAGTTTGAGAAAGGAAGGGGGGGGAAAGAATTGACTCATGAACCAGGAAGCAAAAACTTGTAGAAGCTCATGCTGGCTGATCAGTTCTCTCTTCCTCCAGGTGTATGAGCTGTTGGATTTAAACACCCTTTGTGCATGAAGTAAAAAAAAAAAAAAAACAAAACAAAACAAAAAAAAAGAAAAGGCTGTAGGAACTTTTGCTTTGAAACATCCAACAGTACAATCTGCCAAATGGGGCCTAAAAAATGGATGTTATTGACAGCTTTGCTTGACACAGGCGAAGAGGGCAGCCTCCTGCTTTCGTATCTTCGTCTGCTATGTAGAAGATGCCTGCAGGGAGCCCTGCCTAGGCATCACAGAGGAGGCACACCACACCACCTCCTCCCGATGCTCACCGCTGCCTCTTCACCCCAGCCTTCGCCATTCACAGAAAGCATAGCCACTGTGATCTTTTTCAGGCTGCTTCCTCTGAATAAAGGAACTGACACATCTGTGTGAGCAGAGTCTCGTTGCAGAGGACAGATTTATTAACGTGACAGCTCTCCTCAGCGGATTAGTGT